CTAGCTTTATAAAAATATACTCTCTGGGCTCCTGTGGGCTGTGGTTTGTTCTGAACACACCAAACTCTGAATAGGCTTTCCACTCCATTTTTAGCATAACAGCATGTTTATTTAGCTCTTTGGCTGCAGCTTTAAAGCCATTTAATGTAATGTAAACAAGAACATTTTGTTTGTAATTTGCTAAATGTCTTACAGCTTGGCTGTGTCTCCAATTAGGAACTTAAGCTTCATTCGGTTATTTACATCTGGTTCTGATTTAAATTGACTTTCCATGGCTAGGAAGGACTCAAGAACCCTTGGTAGTTCTTTGGACCAAACTGTTTTACTACTGTAAAACAGTTGTTTGGCTCTTCCATTTTGTAGGGTTTGATTTGCTCTATCTTGTCACTGCTGCTGCAAGTCCTATACGACAATGACTAGAATCTTAGAATTCAGAAATCACAGAGGTAGACAGGAAATTCAGCTGGAGGCTCATAAAAAAGAGGCTGAGGCTTGCTGAAACTCCAAGGAGCCTAAATACAAAGAGTGTGATGTTGTTCATGGACTATTTTTCTTTCTCTGTAGGTTCTAGTCAGTGAAAGATAAATAGCAAAGACCAACATCACTGCAACACTTATGCCTTTTAAACAACTTAGTATGCGTCTCAAATGGGCTCTTCATTGTCTTACTAGTCATTAGCATTTAAAATCCCTGGGTGAAATCCCAAACACAATTCTCTTTCCATTCCAGATTCAGCACCATCTTCCAAGGTATTAAAATGGAGAGATCTCTGATATGTGGAGTTTGATCAGTGGCTTTGGTAGGAAGGATTCCTAAGAGAGGTTTTGAGTCCTGGAGGATTTTGATCATGTCTTTCAGCTTCCTTTTGATTTCTTTTCTTTGAAAGATTCCTTGTGGAAACCAATACACATACAGTTTCTCACTCACCACGGATTCTGAAAAATAAAGACTTGCTCTCTGCATTGGCTTCTTATTCCTGCCTATACTCCACAGTGAGAACACATGGTACAAGCACATAGCGGCTCTATTAGTCCTGTTCCCTCTGGCTGTCAAGAAAACATTCTATTATAATCTCACTAAAGCTGTTTTTCCTTAAATATTGTAATTTTCTGAGCCCCCAATAAGTCATCAATAATTTTGTCCATTTTTCCCAGTTTCTATTTGTATTTGTAGCTGCTCATAATTGTGGGCTATTATAACTGGACTTTCAAACAATTGTAGCACATGAAATCTCATGCTTTTACCAGAACCAGTTTCCTACATGATGCCAAAAGCATCACATAGCTTTGTTCTGTAACGTGTGTTGGTCTAAAATTTGGAAGTTTAAAAGTAAGCCTCTACTGTGTTCCAGAATATTCCTTTAAAAATACATAGCAGTATGTGTCCTCCCCAATTTGAATATTAAATGAAAATAAAGTACAATTAATTTAAGTTTCAAACAGATATTATAGTGTGTTGGTACAATAAGTAAACATAAAGAGAAAGAACAGGTGGTAATACAGCATAATAACAATTTGGGCTGTTTTGCTGAAACCTTCTGGATGTCCAAATGTGCATTTGAGGCAGGCATATTTGCTTTGCTGGCAACTCTTACAAATGGTTAGAAACACCATCACAGCAGTGTGGTGGCCCATCCCACACAGCAGGCTTTCACTGCACTTTCCCTTTGCATGTCCCTGGGGTAGGACTGCATCGTGTGTGTGTGTGTGTGTGTGTGTGTGTGTTATACCTACTCTCTGTATTAAGCAAGATCATCTGTTATGAGAAAAGAATAGGCTATGCCAAATCCCTGTTAAGTCAAAGGAGCATCAGGCACAGGGACAAACCATCTTGGAGTAACCCATTGTTCCCAACACCTTGTGTTTGGTAACTCTCAAAGAAATACTCAAATTTTAAAGTATTCAGTCCCATGTGAAACATAAGATATTTTTCTAAATAATCTTAGTGTTACTTTTAGCAACTGGATTTTGATTATGAGGTTGCTTTACAATATACCTAATGACTTCTATAAGTCAACTATTATATAATTTCATCCTTCATTTATAAAATGACTTCTCTCCAAAATACCTCTCCTTAGATGCCTCAAAAGTAGACTCACATGAATTTTTTATTAAACTAGAAATAAAATGCAAAAGAGAAAAGGGAAAATATTTTGTCATCCTATGTATGCAATTAAAATGCCTTGACTATTACATCATAATTGCAATGATATCCACATTAAGATGGCTCAGCCTCAATTTTGAACACCACAATAGGATAATGGAAGTAGTCTCTCCTTTTAGTATCACAGTTAAGAAGATTGAATCTCATATTCCTTGTGTCTATAAACACCTTTATGGTCAGACAAAAAGAATGTGAATGCATTCTTAATTTTTCCCTTCTATATTAAAATAAAAATCCTGATGATAATAGGGTTGATACAAAGACATCTGCTGCTTTATATTACCTGATTTTTATGAACATTATTCTTTTGCACCATAAATAAGAAACCAGGCACTTATTTTTTAATATAGGTAATGTAAAGGACCTGTCCTGAGCTCTGGAAAGCCTTTGCACACCTCCCTCTTTTAAAATCAGTGGTCTTGAATGCAAGAACTAATAGGAAAACTGGGTGATAGAGAAGTAAGGTGAGTGTGTTAGTACAGGCTACTGATGTTTCTCAAAATAAAACTTGATAAATAGAAACTAAGGCAGCACAGAGAAGCCTTGGAGCAACATTTCCAGTTCAGTTGCCAGGTCTTAGGCAGCGCAGAAGAGCTGAATCTTCAGAAGGGAATCGTGTATGCCTCTGAGGAACAAAAGCTGGTACACATAACCTCTAGGAAGAGGAGTCTTTTTCTGAAAGCTTCATCTAGGAAATTATATCTCAAAAGGGAAAGAGCTTAATGTATGGAATCTCAGTGTATATCTGGGAACATACAGGTGGATTATTGGAGCAGACTGAGGTATGTTCCCATGTGTGACATCATGAGTATGACAGGGAGGCATCAAAGTAACATAATTCAGAGAACAGAAACAGAATGATATGCATTTCATTTTTCATTCAAGAATAAGCTATCTAGAAGAGACTGCACAATTCTACCACAACTGTCCAGCATTAACCCAGCATTAACGGAGAACCACACCTCCAATTTGGGAGTGTGATAGCAAATGGATCTAAGGACAGAAGCCAGCTCTAAAGTCCTGAAACAGCTATGTCAGATTTCAGCTAGGATCCCATACATATTGTCAACTACCCTGTCCACAGTGAGATGGATATTTTAATTGAAAGCACAGAGAAAGTGTTAGCACGGTATTTTCTGTCCTTAAAAACAATTCCTACAGTACAGGGCATGACAGAGTAAGCTTGTATGTCCTATGGAAGTGTTATGTTTGGAATCCAAAATGTACCCCAAGGGGCTCATTACGTTGAAGGTTTGTTTCTCAGATGGTAGGCTATGGGAATGATTGAATCAGGAGCACTGTAGCTTTATCACATGGTTTAACCTATTGATAAGTTCATTAGCTAAATGGGCCTTTAGGAAGTGGGGCCTTGTTAGAGGGAATAAGTCACTGGGAGGAAGCCTGTGAGAGATCTGGTTTATCCCCAGCCTTTTCCTCTCTGGCTCTTTCCCTCTCTCTCTGCTCCCTGCATGCCATGGGACAAGCAGTCTTCTTACCAAACCCTTTTGCTGTGGTGTTTCTGCCTTGCCCCTGGTCTAGAAGAAGAGAGGCAAGTGATCAAGATCTGAAACTGTGAGACATACGAGCTTTTTCTCGTTTGTTAGCCTCAGGTATCTTTTCCACTGGACAGAACACTGTCTAACACACAAAGCATTCCTTTAGGCTGGCAGTTTTGAATAGGACATAAGAAAATGTATAGCAATTCCCATTTGTAGAAGATAGTTGACTTACAGGAAAGGGGGGCTATGAGGAACTGGATAGGCAGGTTCTATATTTCCATAGCAACTGTTTTTATCACAACGATCATCAATTCATAGGATTTGTAAAGAAAAGAATTGTAATTAAATAATGAGTTTTAGTCACATGATTCTGTTACCGGTCATGTGATCTTAGACAAATCATTCAGCGTAATGGGGCTTGTTGTGCACCCTATATACAGTACCTAAAACCATGTCCAGAAAATAACTGCTCAATGAATATTTATTGAGTAAATAAATCAATGAATTTAATTTACTTGGTTCCATTTCATAACCTGTAATACTTGGATAACAATTCCATTGTATCCTATGAGTACTGAATAGAAAAATGAGATCAATAATGAAAAAATGCTTTTAAAAACTATAAAGTCTACATGTGGTGGTCCATGCCTGTAGTCCCAGGACTCTGGGAGGCTGAGGCTGAGTCCTTGTTCTCCTTAAGACCTTCCAGGCTGCTTAGGCCATTGCTGAGATGTCTCACAGGGCCTTCCCTAAGCACGGCCTTCAGTCACACCATGGTTCTCCACAAGGGAAGAAAGAGCAGCCAGACACCTGGTCCCATTTAACACAGGCTGGCAATATGGTATAAATATATGGGGGAAACTGGCATATGCTGGTGGTCATTATGGAATGGCAAAGAGTAGAAACCTTTAAATTTGAGATTCATTTTGCAAAAAGCAATGAGGGTTTTAATGGTAAAAGGGTAAATGGTAAGTGCTGAAGAGAGGTGTGGACAGTTTTAAAAATACTTTTAGGGCTTTTATTTTTCAGCATTTATGACCACATTGGGAAAATTAAGGAATAGTGTAACCCTGGCTGGAATAGGCAAACGTCCTTCCAAAATAACTATACTATGTAAACTTTGAAACAAAGTGATGAACGTGCTACTCATGGAGAGGTAATAAAGGAGTATAAAATTATGTGAACAATTCTTAAATAAGTCTGGTTCTGATGGCACACATCCAGTCTTGTTCCTGGAATTTGAAGAATTCTCCTGGAAACATCAGAAGCCATCTCTTTTAAAGGACATACACAGTATCAAACCACATTGATTTCCACTCTAGTTTGAACCCTTCTTACCTGTTTTTGCTCTTCTCCTAAACCATCCCACATTGAAGCTACAATTTTAGAGACTTCGCCAAAGGTAGCATTTGGATTTTGGCCCTTGATGGCAGCCTGAGTATCACGAAAGAACAATGCATAGGCTGACACAGGCTTCTGAGGCTCATTGGGGTCCTTCTTCTTCTTCTTTTTGGGAGTTTTTGGTTTTTTCCCCATATCAGAGGCAGGCCGCTTCTCTCCACCATTGGTCTAAAATAAAAATCAAAATAAAATTGTAGAGGAACTGAGAAAATTTGTGACCAAATTCCTATGTCCTATGGTTGTTCTGCTTTGAGACTTAGACACATAGATACAGCCATACACATCCCACAAACACAGACACTTGGTACTGTCGCTGCTGTTGTTTTCTTAAATACAGCTTTATATTTTGGGCCAGGGATACAGCACAATGTTAGAGTGCTTACGTAGCATGTACGAGGTCCTACGTTTGATCCCTAGTACCATAAAATAAACAGGCAAATAAAATTCCCTCATGTTTCATGTAGTCTTTATATTTATTCTTCTCCTAGTTCAATTGATACAGCGTTAAGCAGTTTGTTGATTATAATACTACCACATAATTAAATATTATCCTTTAACTCTCCTTTTTCTTCTTTGTCACTGACAGCAAGTTTCTCTTGTCACAACCCTACTGAACGAGGACTCTAACTTATCTTCTGGGGAGTTCCTCCTTATCTTTCTAATTCTGATTTTAAAACCATGGAGGCAATATGTCCAGTAAAAACTGAAATAATTTTTACTTTGTACCTAGGGCTATGGAGTGCTGCTGGGAAAACCTAGCACTGCCCATGTTCTAGAGAATGATTTGATCTGGACCCTACATCAGGACGTCCAGTGGCACTTTCTGCAAGGATGGGAGACTTCCATGATCTGCACTGTTCTGTAGAGTAGTCACCAGTCATATAAACCTAGTGAACATTTGAATGTGGCTTGAGTGAATAAGGAACTGAATTTTAGCCTATTTAAATTTAATAGCAATTATATGCCTAATAGGCACCCTTGGAGAGTACAAGCCTGAAAAAACAGTCTAAAGATTTCTAGGACAGTTTTTTATTCAGTTAAAAATAGATTCCATTTCCATCTATTGTTCTCAAGTGTGAATATTTAGATAACTTAAATTGTTATTTTGATACATTTGTGAAAAAAATATACTGAATGTGTTTAAGGCACCTAAGTCTGAATATTATCTTTGTTATTAGGTAGATGTGATGCTGTTTCATCTTTCTGTGTCAAATGTAGAATTTTGCCCAGGATTTCTGGATAGCTCTAAAATTTTATGAATTGAGAAGGATATAAAATTATATGAAGTAACAGGAATATTCTTCACACTATATGTGAAGAATCCTTCCGCACCAACATGAGCCATGTGTGCACTGTATCCAGACAGTATGACCACTCTCACAGCAGGTTCTGCATTCTCATTTTGTACTGTGGTGGTGGCTGTCACTTTTTCCTCTCTGTGGACACAATGCAATACATACCTAATTCATATAATTTGCTTGGTGGGGCGTTTGTGTAACATAACTGCCACTGTGGCAGAAGAAATATGGTCTAATAGTGAGAGCCCTGTGAACATATCAGAGGATCCAGCTCTATGCCTTCCTTTTAAAGTATATTTAGCTATGTTTTTCTGGTTAAATTAATTGTTCTGGAACCCTGCTTCTTCTACTAAACCAGCTGTAGTGCCATTTTATGATCACGGAGATGGTACATATTTATATTTTTGTAAACATTTAAAAGGATATTCAAATATTAATTATAATACATTAATGCATTTAAAAATAATTTATTGACTGAGAAGAAATGACTCTAATGACATTTATAAAATGACACCTTATAATCAGTTTGAAAGATATATGCCCAAGTACCCCCCAAAATAGGAAGAGAGCTAAATGAATTCTTTGGCTTTTCTTAATTCAGAAACATATTTAAAAAGATGATCATTTACAAATTACCTATTGAAGCAGATCAAAGACCCCTTGGGGACAGGATGCTTTGAACCAAGTTGACAAGTGAATGTAGGAAAACATTAGATCATTACTTCCCCAGGACGGACATGAGAGGTGATTCTGTGAAATTACTGCTCCCCATATAATTCAGAAGACACGATGAGACTGAAGCAATACATAGCAGACAGGTAGACTAGCTCTAAATTAAGCACATAGGCACACATGACGTAGAAAGTAGGTCTCAAATATTTCTGCATGTTGAAATCACCTGGAAAGTTTCTAATAAGTACACTGATGCCCAGGTACTACTCTCCACTGATTAAATCAGATGCCTAAGGGAAAGAGACTGGCCTCAGACAAACTCTCAACTCTACTCTTCCAATTTGGCACTGAAAATTCTTGAGAGACAAAGCAAACAGACAAGGAAGCCTTTTCTGTTGCTTAAGACTACATATGGTCATAGCATTCTCTTGTCCACCACCAATTTTTCTCCTAGGGTCATCACTGCTGGCTGGATGCAGCCTTTGCTGTTCACTTTGGTGTGTTTTTATGTCAGTGTCTGTAATATAAGGTCCCCAGTTCCATACGATGAAACCAAGCGGGTTTCCCTTTTTTTTTCCCTTTTGACTCATCCTCCTTCAAATGGCTATTATATGGTAGCATCTCTGATGTGTCTTGTTTTATTATGTTTTATTTTGTTTTGTTTGCTACAAATTCCCTTATCTTGAGAGTCTGTACTGAGGTAATCTCACAAGTATGTAGAGTTTCCACTACCATTAGGTGGAGGTCAAATTCATGTTTGCCCTGAGTTTTGCATGCATCGAAACAACTATCTGACACCTTTATTTTCGAATCTCAAGGATATTTCAAACTCAACTTAGGCTCCTTTTATTCACTTATTTACTTCTATATACTTCCCTTTATAGAAAATACCAAACATGTAGTTATTCAATAATATGTGGTTATCCCTTTTCCACCCCTATGAAGGAAGGTCCGGGTATAGTTTTGTGCACTAGCACTTCCATGGTTCCTAAAACACAGTAAGTGCTCGGCATTTGTCATAACAGTAATAAAAATAGTAACATAAATAATATTAATCATAGGAAGAATGAATGAATGAAAGTGCAGATGGTTTCGGTTACAGAGAGTTAAGCCTCACAAATTTATTTGAGTCCTTTAGGACAATAATCAAATATGCAGTGAAAGAGAAAATACGGATAAATTTCTTAAAAGTACTTCACATGTTTTTTAGCAATTTCATTGTATTACAGAATGGTACTTTTTAATTTTCTTCCTTGTATTCTTTGTAATTTCCAAATTTTGTAAACATAGCCGTTTGTGTGTTTATAATCATAAAACAGTCATTAAAGTGAAAAGAAAAAGAGTCAACAGGGTGTATAATGAAAAAAATTAAAAATAGAGCGGTAAAAGAGTATAAACTTTCTGCTATAATTAACTTCTAAGAATCTACCATCTAGCATGGTAACTATACTTAACAGTACTGCATTGTACACTTGAGACTTGCTAAGGAAGTTGACCTCAAACATTCTCATTAACAACCCTCCAAATGGAGCTCTCAGATAAACAAGAAAACAAGAACTGGTGGCCAGATGAGGTGATGGATGTGTTCACTAACTTCATTATAGCAATTATTTCACAATGTACATGTATACCAAAACATGATGTTATATACTTTAAATGCATACAATTTTATTTGTAAATTTACTTCAATACAGCTACAAAAAAGGAGTGATCATGATGTTGGAGTACATAATTCATCAACAATTTTGGTAAATTTAGACATAGGTAACCAAGTGTAGAGATAAGTGAGTGCTTATCCATATGGGATATTACATAGACTCATTTTAAATCTTAATTAAAATTAATAATCGAACATATTGAAATCTCCATGATTTCAGATTATATCAGTCTTTTTGGAAAATGATCAAATGTCAACCATAGAGATAAATCTCCTATCATGGGATGTAAATGTTCTTATGAAAGGAGTTGCTCAAATTTAGTTTTTCTCCTCCTTTGTTCAAAGTTGGGTCTGAACCACAGACAATTTTGTTTATTTCCCTATTAATCGGGTATTAGGACAGTTATTCTCTTGTGTTTGACAACAGTGCCCTCCTTTCTACTGATGACTTGATGAAGCAGGAGAACCTGTTACTTCCAGTAATAAGCTCAAGTATGAAGTGTATTCAAGGCCAAAAATTAGCATTTTGATGGGAATATATAGCATAACCTAGGAAACCATGAGCAATTCTATGTAACCAAGCAACCTACTTGGTTTTTATGTCTGGAAGCTATCTGTCCTTTCTTGGGTGTATTTGTAGGATCAGCAGGATGGAGTCTTGTTCAATCTCAGGGTTTTTTTCTTGGTTATTTTTATAGAAGGACACATTTCATGACTTCTGCCTCTACATTTTCCAGGCTCAGGAGACATCACTTATGTGCTATGAGTTGTAAATCTGTAGCTTCAATTTGGTATTTGATGAAGTACCTGATATGTATTAACATATAACGCTGGGAGGTCACCCCCATTAAGGCCAGACTACCACCCAATCTTACATATTATCTTTGTGTTGTCCATGACTAAAAGTGAGAGTGTGTGTGTCTGCTTTCAGTCAACAACATACTATGCCTTCTCTTTAAATACATACTCATGTTACACTTGGTCTGGATGATCAACCATGCAAAATAAATGGCATCTGAGAAGACCAGTCTAAATGCTAGACATAAAATATTCATCACTCAAGATTCACTGTCTTTCCTTCAATAATTTAACTAGATCATCAAAGGTATATTCTTGGTAATCGTATTCTGACCACTGAGGATTGTCCCCATAGAACTCAACTGTAATTTAAGATAATGTCCTGAATTTCACTGAAGACATGTGAGTGGAGAAAAAGCTATGTATATGTATATGAAAGGGATCTATTTTTATACAAATAAAATGCCCTTTGGAGATAACTGTTTATTATATTGCTCAACGTTTTCATATTAAGACTTAGTGCACATGCACAATTGCTTTGCATTTTAGGATGCAATGTAAGTGAATGGAAATTGTTGTGGTTTTATTTCTTCTCATCCAAATCCTTGTGTAGTGTTCAGTAAAGGCTGTTTGTCTCATGAACACTGGGCATTGCTTCCTAATATGTGAGATTTCCCCCACTTTTCTTGCATAGGAAAGGTATAGAAAGCAACTGCTACTCAATGCCATGAAACAGGAATGTG